TCAAGTGAAAGCTGAAGGATTCAGAATTGTTTTGGTGACACTAAAAAAGTGGGATAAGACATTCCTTTTCCCCTGCTCTTTAGTCTTTAAGCATGTGGGTCCAAATGTGCTAGCAAGTACCAGTTTCCTTTCTGAAGTCCTTGTTAGAATTTAAATCTGGGTGATTTAGTGCACTGAGAAAGTTAGCACTTGCCAGAGAGACCATACATTCAGTTCACTGGCAAGACTTCTGTTCAGAGGAAAAAGTTTCTAATTTTCTTTTCAGTGCTAAAGAATATTCATGAAGATCTTCATTACACGAGAGGGAACGAAAGAGGAGGGACAGATCAGGAGAAAACAAGGTAACTTTCCAGTTCAGCTTTTGGGAGGTCACACCAAGCTGTAACCAACACAGAAAGCAGGACACAGAAAGGCCTCTGTTGGGAAGCACGCTGCCAGGATATGCTAGGCTTGCCACTACATCACGACATAACACATCTGGTTTTATCAATCCTTTTGATACAGTATTTAGTCCCTGCAAGCAGCCTATAAAATAACAGGGTTACATCAAAACTTACGCTGCAGTAAAAGTAGTAGTGCAGCCATGCTGCATGTAAAAACAAACTGTAAAAGGTCAAAATGAAGATAATAAAAATCCTCAATTTAAACCACAAACTTTTATTTTAAAGCCTGCTAACAGCCATCTGAGATTTGACTCCTCCTTTCTGCACACCCCGAGTTAGCAATATTGCTTGCTGACTCCTTGCAGCCTTGCCCGTACTATCATTTTGTCTCCACTCCACTGCATGTATTTTAGCCTAAACTCCCTACTTACCTACACTATTTGCTACAGCTTAGAATAAACCTAGAGGCTCTCCAAGGGAGCTTGCGGTTAGACGGTGACCAGCGTTTGCTTTCTTCGGGTACTGATGTATTGGTACACAGCCTGTACCCAGAGAGAGCCCGGCCGGCGTCTCTTCACCTGGGGCGGGGCTGGGTTAAGCGGCTGCTCCCGCGCCTCTCGCCCCGCCCTGGGGAGCCGGCACCAACAACCGCCTCTCCCTCGGGCTTACACCCGCCGGCCCTGCCTCGCCGCCATGTTGGCGCAGCCAGCTCTTTTCCACCACCCACCGCCCTCTTCCCCTCCCGCCTCCTGCCGCCTCGGCGCTGCCCTGTCAGCTGGCGGGGCGGGGCCGTCCGCCTCTACTTCCGCAACGGCGGCGGGCGGG